CCGCCCTCCGCCGGCGCCGCGGGGAGCAGCGGCGCGAGGTCGGTCGGGCCGGGCCGCCCCTGGGGTCTGGTCTCAGCCGGCCCCCGGTGAGGCCTGGGCGGGGCGGCGGCAGAGCGGGGAGGCAGGGTGCGGAGCAGCCGCCACCGGACCCGAGCCGGGGGGCGCTTTCCCCTGACCGGGCGGAGGAGAGAAGCACAGGCGGGTCCGGGGTAGCGAGGTGGCGGTGAGGGGCCGGGCGGGCCCTTCGCCTCTATCCCACACGGCGCCCCGAGGGCCGGCGCGTTTGCCGCCGAGGGAACGCGGCCGCACCGGAGCCGAGCGCGGCCTCTCGCCAGGCCGGGCCTTCTCCGGGAGGCGCACTTCCCCCACCCGTCCAGTAGAGGGGGAGCGTGTCCTTCTGGGCTCCCCGCGTCAGGGAGGACAGGGAGCTGGAGGAGAGGGTACAGCAGAGGGCTGCAAAGATCATGAGGGGCCTGGAGCACCTCCCTCACGGGGAAAGGCTGAGGCACTTGGGACTTGTAAGTCTGGAGAAGAGAGGACTGAGGGGGAACGGCATCAACGCTGACCGATATCTAAAGGGTGGGTGTCAAGAGGATGGGGCCAGACTCTTTTCAGTGGTGCCCAGTGACAGGAGGAGAGGTAACAGGCACAAACCTGAACATGAGAAGTTCCGTCTAAACGTGAGGAGAAACTTCGTCACTTGGGACAGTGGCAGAGCACTGGAACAGGCTGCCCAGAGGGGTGGTGGAGTCTCCATGTCTAGAGACATTCAAAACCCACATTGACACGTTCCTGTGCAACCTGCTTTGGGTGGACCTGCTTTGGCAGGGGGGTTGGACTAGATGATCTCCAGAGGTCCCTTCCACCCCCATAGCATTCTGTGATTCTGCCCTTCCCCCGCCACTTGACGAACATTGCTGGTCCTGCGTCCTGGTGTGCTGTTCTGATTATTTTTTTATTTTATTTTTTTGATATTTAAGAGAACTTGTGGATCTCAAATCTGGCTGATAAAGACAAGTCACTGCAATGGTCACGTGGTAACATGGGCTGCCCCTGCTCCTTCTCAGCCGCTGTTCTTAGAGCAGGGAGTAACTGCTCATGGATGCATCTCTGCAGGTGCTTCTTCAGGCAAAGTGGTCTTGCTGGGCAGATTGACAAGGAGCTGGAGCCTGGAAATGACAGAAATTACAAGCAACACTATCTACCCCACTTCACCACTTTCCCCCCTTTTTTTTTGGAAAAAAAAAAAAAAAAGAAGTCCAGGTGGGGCAAAGGAAAACTGCTATTTTTTTCTGCCTTGCAAGGACTACCTACTGTAACATACAGGCAGTTCCTACATGCCACAGGTGCTGTGAGCAGTGCAAAATACTTTGAAAGTGTGTTGTAATCGCAGTCGTTTCCTAAACTGCTTAGTCAGAATCCACTTCATGTAGTTGTGGTGTTCTACAGTTCCTGCCCTCTGGCAGATTTTCAAAGTACAGCATCTACTGCTTGTCCAGACCTAAGTAGTAATGGAGAGGGATCCCTCCTTCCTTGACAACTTAGGACAAGAATTGCAGGATGGATAGGTATTACAGAGAGGGAGTGATAGGACAAGGATCAGGGCTAGCATATTGGGTTCAAACTTTGCAACAGGCCACTTGGAGAATGGATTCACACTCCAAAACTGGAATAGGTGCAGCTCACTCAAAAAACCTGTTGAGATTCCAGTTCCCATTAACTGCAGCTGATTAATTCCATGTAGCTGCACTGATGTGAGCAGCTAATGTGGAGCATTTGAGATGCCGCTGTTTTGTGCAGGGGCTGTTTTGGCTGTGTGAATACTGGAGGCCATGGAAAGGCACATTATCACAGAACTACACATCCACCCAGGGACCCATTTGAGGACAGTATTTTCTGTGGCAGCAAGTATTCTGATCCATTACCTCTTGTAGGCAAAATGTTACCCTGAGGCAGTATGGGGAAAATAAAGCACATAATTTATCACACCTGACATATGTTTCATAGAACTTCTGATGATGTGCTTCAAAAAGCAGTGAGGAAAGAGAAGGGAATTTCTGTAGGTGACAGGTCAAGTTCCTACTGAGTTATTTACATGCTGGTGATACTGTCTTACCAATGATACATGAAGATGCCAAGGCATCTTTTATTGTTACTTAAACTGAAAAAATAAAACTGGCTTACTAGAGAGATGAGAGATAAAAAATAATTCTGATGGAAAAAGTTTCTTAAAAAAAATATTTTTTCTGTGGGAACACAGACACATTTCACTTTAGATCCTTCCATAGGACAGGACTGAAAGATGCAACAGTTGCAAATCATAAATATGTAAAGCATAGAAGTATTAAGAAGCTCACTACTGGTTATTGCATGATGCAATTTCACATTTGTTGTCCTCAACAGAGGAAGGACATGGACCTGTTGGAGCTGGTTGAGCAGAGGGCCACGGAGATGCTCAAAGGGCTGGAGCACCTCTCCTATGAGGACAGGCTAAGAGAGCTGGGGTTCAACCTGGAGAAGAGAAGGCTCCAGGGAAACCTTATAGCAGCCTTCCAGTACCTCAAGGGGGCCTACAGGAGAGATGGGGAGGGACTCTTTATCAGGGAGTGGCGCCACAGGACAAGGGGTAACAGTTTTAAACTGAAAGAGGGGAGATTTAGATAAGATACCAGAAAGAAATTCTTTACTGTGAGGGTGGTGAGACACTGGAACAGGTTGCCCAGGGAAGTTGTGGATGCCCGATCCCTGGAAGTGTTTAAGGCCAGGCTGGATGGGGCTTTGGGCAACCTGCTCTAGTGGGAGGTGTCCCTGCCCATGGCAGGGGCGTTGGAACTCCATGATCTTTAAGGTCCCTTCCAATTCAACCTATTCTATGATTATGATTTCTAGAACTCTCACTCAGGTAAGCCGCTGGTATCTTGCGATGCTTCGGGGAATGAGTTGTTAAGTTTCTCACCAAGATTTATATTATTTTTCTTTAAGAGGATACTATTTTCTACCATGAGGGGCAAAAGCCCACACAATTCAAGCTGGTTGTGCAAATTTCAACTTAGACTTTGTAGTTAAAGAGTTCTCTGTACCAGACTGTATTACCTAGCTCATTCAGCCTCGTGTCTCTTTCCAGAAGGGTCTTGTGTGTTTGTTACCAGTATCTTCCCTCAGGCCTTGTAGGCCTCCGTGTTCCTGTTGCATTTTGTGAGGGAAGTTTTTATACATCAAGCAGATACACGACACTCTCCAGCTCTTTGAAGACCAACCCACATTCGAAAGATATTTTCTGGTATTATTCAGGTAGTTTCACAGGGACTTTTTTCTCTATCATCCAGGGTCATGTGCAGCTCTCAATGGGAAATGTGCATCTCTTGCTTAATGACAAATCAATGAATTAGTGTAGATTAAGTATTTTTTTCTGGTATGACAAATCTCACTTACCAAATCCTTTAAAAAAATTGTCAACAATGTTCAAGTTAATGAACTTTACAGGATGCTCCTACCAGTGAGGATCATTCATACAGCTTCCAAAGGGCCCAAGGTAGGGGTTACCAGTTTCAACAATGATCTTTTAATGACCATCTCGACGCTTGTCCCTTAGGTTAACGTTGTTCACACCACAGCACTTTGGTATCACTATCTTTTCAGGCTGGTGTAAAACAGTTGTGAAGCAGTTCCAGGTGCTGCGGGGACAGGCCCCATGCCTTTGGTCTGGCAAGAGCTGGTATTTTTCCTGTTGGGAGCAAACGCATGCACCACTGGAAATGGGTCAGCAAATGGCTTCCACGAAGAATAGGTGGACTGGACTGCCGAGTACTCTTTCGTCACTGTTTAGTGTTAAGGGTTTGGGAAAGTATCAGGGACTTATATGAAATTACACGGCCTGAAGTATAAGCAAAATCAACAAGAAAACAGATTTTGGGGTTGGCGTTAGCATTTTCAAAACACTGAATTCTACTACAAGGCCATGAAGTTTTGGTGGTGTTTTTTAAATGGAGAATAACTATTACACACTACCACAAAAGGAAAAGCTTGCCTTCTGAATGCCGTATGATTTAGTTACAGGGTCAGATATACAAATTTGGAGTTATTCCCCCTCTGTCTCTAACCAGGCATCAACCTGTGCTTTTTCCTTCTGGGCAGCTTGCAGGGCCAGAGTATTCAGATACCACTGCACACAGAAAGCCCACGCCTGTGACCTAATTCTTCAAACTTTGCTCCCTGTGGTGAGTTCCATCTGTTTAGACCTGGAGAAATAGACCAATACATTACTTTAATACCCCAGGGAGCTGATTATGCCTTCTGTATATATTTTGTTTTCACTCGACATGCACTGCCTCATCAGCTTTATAGGTGTGTTTAACAGTCATTACGTTTTCAGCAAAGTGCTACCAATGCAAAATATCATAGCAAGATGAACAGAAACCGAATACTCAGGCATGAGACGTACAAATCCTTACAAGCCCTTGTGCTCTTCAGTGTTTGAAGCTTTATACTTTTCTCTAACACTTTTTCACGTGTTAGAGAAAGAAATGGGTTCCAGGTTGTGGGTCATTAACATAAATTATCTGTAATCCCTCTTCCCTCTCAGTGGAACAAAACAGAAAAAAACAAAAATCAAACCAAACAAAACCACTTGTAAGTGCACATACTTTGGAGGAAGTTCCATAGTCTATACAGGATTTCCATTTAGAAGTGTTAAATGATTGTTTTAATTTGTAGATTACTGTGTTAAAGTGATTATACACAAAGGATGGCTCAGTCTCTGAATCATTTAGTACAGACATCCTGGTTTTGGACAGAATTGTTGCAGTTAAGTTGTGTGTCCTCTGGGGTCCTCAAGGTAATTGGGGAAAAAGATCACGTGTATGTGCTTTATGAAGGTTAATCTGGTCCTTAAACCAAGAAACTGCGTTCTTCCCCAAAGAAGACAGATCAGAAATACCTACTTTGCATAGGGACACATTCTAAATAACCTATACACTGTGCACAAAGGAGCAGACACTTCACATAGATGTACAAAATGTTTTTGCTTACAGGGCATGCAGATTGGTCTCTTGCATTTCTATGAGGAAAACTGCACAATTGTCTTGCTAAGATTAAGCAATCTAATTTTAAAGCCTCAAAAAGAGGTGATAATGAGAGACAGACTCTAAATTAAGCTAAAGACTCTACATACTTAGAGAAAAAAAACCTCAACTTTTCAATTTTTCTATTCGGTGCATAATTAAGGAATAATACTCTCCTCCTTGTCAGGGTTATAGGATTACTTCAATGTAAAAAAACCCCCCAAAAACCAAAAAAACCAAACCACCCCACACCAAAACCTTACATGAAAAACTCTTCAGAGGTACAAAGCATTTAGTTCTAGGAAATGAAGTGCCAAATTCTGGTTTTGCCAATCCAGCAGGTTTGCTACACTTACTATTGTTATTACCAATAGCTTTCATAAACTTTTAGAGTGACACCTGTGTAGTTTATAAATACACTACTGCATCAGAGCATGAAATCTTGGCTTGATGTTCACTGGTGTTTGGGATTATCTCTGCTGCTAGTGAAATTAAGGAAATCAGAACAGTTCAATAGTTATGTTAAAATTACTGCCCATACTGAAAAACCTGAAATCCCTTTATGAAGCAATGCCTGTTGAGTATGTTCCTTTGCCTTTTCTACTCTAATTTCAAGATTCATAGAGCTGGTAGAAGATAAGGACAGATGCCATGGTATGGAGTAGGTCTCATATATCTTGGGATGCCTCTCAAGACCATATAATGAAGGCACAGAAATGCTGGAACAGTAAGCCCTGTACAGACCAAGAGCAGGTTGATAGCTGTAATTGCCTTGAGAACAAAATATTTTATTTATCAATGAAACTATAGTTTACAGTAGTATTTACTAAATAAATTATATAATTTCTCTTTTACAAGAAATAAACTAAAATGAAAAATATTTCAAAGACATTATATATACACAACATAAGGCCTTGTTATAAATAACATTTTGTTTTTCTCCTTTTTCACCAGCAGTGAAAATATCTTTAGAGGCTCATTTTCATATAGTATGTGCAGAGGATTACCCTAACCCTTGTAGGACATCAATTCCAATTTCCACTGATGTGGACCTAAGTGATTAGAACTGAAGGGTCAAAATAAGCGAAATTAATTATATTCACCACTGTGCTCATTTTTAAATAGGTAAAGCAGATAATAGATCTTGCTTGTGCATAGATACAGAATGCATGCTAATGAAATCACTAGAGAGATGATAAGAAAATATCATTTTCAAGTCCAAAAAAGGTGATTGGCAATATAGTAGAAAGCAGCCTGAATACACAGTTCTTCACAGTTCAGCAAGCAACAGCAGATGATAGCAGAGTGTGGAATGTTTCATGTCATTTTTGCAAAGTCCATCAATCCTTTCTATGGTTCAAAGATTCTGACGCTTCTTAGAATAAATTCAGTTGATTACTGCCCTTTGTCTATCAGGCTCAGCAAATTCCTCCTTCTTAAATCAGGAATGCAGAAAGTGCTCTTCATTAACCATGGCCACTTCTCTTAGTTTTACTCTTCGTGTTACTGGAAATACAGAAATGACAAGTAAAGTCAAGGGCTGTGTCAATTTTCTTACAGAATTATAAACAGGTAACACCTTTTTCCCCTAAACAAGCTGCAGCACAGTTTGGCAGTGGCTCTTTACTTACTTTGGGCCCTCATCAAAAGGACCGTGACTCCTTTTTTGTACAACAGGTAACCCCGATGGGTTTTGCAGACATTGCAGTTCACGTATTGTATGAAATAGAACCACTTGCTGCTGCAAAACGCTGAATGCTCTGGACATCAGAGAAGAGAGTCCAAACTGAGAGCACTCAGCAGTTCACAGCAGCTTTTATTACCTTGCAGAATTGATCGGGCCCTTTGTGGTTAAAAGTGGCAGGGGGAAAACCAGCAGTCTTCGTATGGCATGTACACAAGTCCTGCTAGCTTCCACATGTTGAAAAATCACACCTATCCAAAAACTGTTTCAGACACAACTAATGTTCTAGTCAATGTCATAGCAATCATTCTTTTTCACAAAAAAAACCCCAAAACCACCTTAATAATGAATTGGATTTTTCTTCAGTATCTTCTACAGAAGCAGCAGAATGCAAATTCTTGATCACTTCTGAGCATCTCTGAGGAGTCATGGATGAATTGAAGAGAAACTCTTCTTTGCTGAACACCTTATAAGTACAACTCAGAATAAACTGAGAGCTGAACAAAATACTGCAGCAAATTGAATGCATCTCAGCCAATGGATGCAACAGAGCAGGGCACAAAACCAAAACAAAGACATCTGTAGTGTCTTACCTTAAAAGCTTGTGAAAAATATAATGAAGGCTTAAATTCCCATTTATTAAACAGATTGTTAAGGTCACCTTTAAACTGTACTTTTCGATACAAGCATTTAACTAACCTTTAAATAGTTCAGCAACAATCTAATCTTGACTATGAAAAACAACAAAAAGCCTCCAAAGGTATTTTTAAAGCTTATCTTAGAAAAAGGTAACCAGTAGATTTGAATCAGTATCGTAGTTAGGACTTCTAGCACTAGACCTTCAACCTTGAAGAATGGTATTTCAGTATCGTTCTGTGGCAAGTTTTAAACCTGTTACTGTATTGTGCACTGGTGTTAGGGTGTTCATAATCACTGACGATAGAGAGCACAGTCCTAATTTCTCAGAGGCCGTTCTCTCTCTCTCTCTAGATAGCTGTGGCCTGGCAATGAAAGTCTACCTACGGCATTATTAGCACCTGAATGTCCTAAAGGATTACAGGATGCAGAACAATTTAAAGTGAAATTGCTGGACAAGTGAGTAGAATTAAATAAAGTGATATTTTAACACAAGTAAGACATAAGGCTAACAAAGATTTAAAAAAAAAAATATTTTACAGATCAGTTTGGCAAAAAAGTTGAAAAATTATAGTACCGACAAACAGAATAATGTTTTGTGAAGCCAAGATAAATTAGTCAAAATTTTCACTAACACCATCTAGTTTCTGGCCAAAAGCTCAGATCTGAATGACCACAGTTCCATTTTTGACAGATATAAAAGTCACTCAACACAACTTCATTCCCTTTAGCCTTATCACTACTTTTTACTCTCTAAGGAGACTAGCACTGTTGCTGATACTAGCTTTATGCTATTCCACTAATTATGTAATGCAATTACAGCTAGTTTACTCTTGTTTCCTTTCCACTGATCCTTCCAAAGCATTTCAGAGGGATCAGTGATGGAAAAAATATCATCAAAATTTGCATAACGGAGTTGGAGAAAACAACCAAAAAGACTCAACAGAGACTTGTAGCAACTGCTGAGTGAGTCAGTCACAGAAATACTGTTCATGGTACAGATGCCATTTTTAAGGAGGTGGGATTTTTATATGTTCATCTTTGTGTCAGGTACAGTCACGATCCTCTAAGGAACTCTTTTTTAAGGAGGTGGGATTTTTATATGTTCATCTTTGTGTCAGGTACAGTCACGATCCTCTAAGGATCGTAACCAGTGCACAACTTTTGGGGTTACTTTGATTGCAGATATAAGA